TGGATACTGGGATCCAGCGGAACTTGGGGTACTGGACCCGTCTCAACGAGTCCTGAACTATGTTCAGGAGCAGAACATGTACATTCGCCCACTTGATGGAGTAGAGACCAAGGTACTCAACCCCGCAGCACCAGAGTTCATGAGGTCACAGATGGCTCCTGTGTTTCCTCCAGTGCCAAAATGCGAATTCCACAAAACACACATTGACTTCCTGGGCTACCGCATTTCGGGAGGCGGGTTGGAAATGGATCCCGGGAAGGTGAAAGATGTGGTGGGATGGGACCCTCCGAAGACACGGAGGCAAATCCAAGGGTTCTTAGGATTCTCCAATTTTTATCGCGGGTTCATCAAGGGCTTTGCCCAGATTGCGCTACCCCTTACTGACTTATTGAAAACGAAGGGGAAGGGGTTTGACGCCACGAAGCCGGGGGCACCGCTGAAGTGGTCGGCGGAGTGCGATGAGGCTTTTCGGCGCTTGAGGGAAATTTTTATTTCTGAACCGGTCCTTGCGCACCCTGATGAAAGGAAAAAATTTATTGTGCAAACTGATGCTTCAGATGTAGCTATGGGGGCGGCTATTTTACAAAAGGGGGAGGATGGCATGTTACACGCACTTGCCTATGTCTCCGAAAAGTTTTCTGAGGCTGAGCGCCACTGGTCGGTGTGGGAGAAGGAAGCGTCGGCAATCCGTTTGGCGTTGTGTTCCTGGCGCCATTAGCTGGAGGGCGCAAGAGTGCCTAGAAACTCTAAAATCCTGGGGCTCGTGGGTTTGGACGGACCATAAAAACCTAGAAACTGGTGGGAAATTACACTTACAGAGTGGCAGTAAAGTGTTAGTTAGAAAAAGAAGACTATTCCCATGCAGCAGCCTGCAGGAAAGACAGCTCTGGAGGACAAGAGCTCCACCCTGGGGGCGGGGCCACGGCCATACAAGGGAAAACTCTATGGTTTTCCCTTGTATGGTCGTGCCCCCACCCCCAGCGTGCCCGGCGTCATGATGTCACTTCCCTGTGACGTGCATGCGGCACGCGCGCACGCCAGGAGCCACACAGGAGTCCCACGTCAGCAAGGTAGGTAACACTTGGCAACCCTAATTAATATAGTGTTATTGTCTAGTACTCCTGATTTGTACAATTATTATAATTGGGCATTTGTGTCTTCGGGTGGTAAAAAGAAGCTGCAGCAAGAAAACTATCAAAATGTAGGCTGTTTCATAAATGGCATGCATGAGATCTTCAACTCTTTCCAGGAGAATGATCAGGTAAGCACTAGTCTCTCTTTCTCTCACTTGCCTACAAATGGTTAACTATGTAATTATGAAAGTGGGGTGGAGTCAAAATTCAATTCCATATTAAATTTAGGAACAAAAAAACTTTTGAGTTGGATAAGGGCTAGAGGTGACTTAATCCAATAGCTCTCCCATCCATCCCATGCTCTACTCACTGACTGATGCAAACCTATTTGTGTGGGCTTTTTCCTTAACTGGATAAGTTAGTCCTTGCTATTATTTTTTAAACTGAAATTTCATCATTAAATGTTATTGTGGTAATTTCTCTGTATTCTCTGTGGGATTCAGTACTGTAGAGCTTCCTGGGGGCAAATGCTGCTCCATCCCCCTCCCTTGAACCAAGTAGAGAGGAAGGGGCAGGGTTTGGCTATGGCGGACAGGAAGGGAAAGCTAGCCAAAACTGATGCTGTATGCCTGATGTGGGGGCGACCCCAGGGAAGGATATATATGGACCAGCCTCAGATGGGCCCACCCTCTTTGGCCACAGCAAACAGAAAAGGCCCCCCCCCTCTATTTCAGAGCAAGTGCAAGCTGGTCACTCATTTGGGGGCTGAGTAGGAATTTTTTGCCCCCTGGCACAATTGGCAACAAGTTCTTTCACCTACCTTACTGTGAAAGTGATATAGGTGGCAGGCAGGAGCAGTGTGGGAAAATGTTGCTTCGATGGTACCGCTGAGGTGAGTAATCCAAGGCATCATTTTGGAAGACGAAGGGGTAATCCTCAGACCAGAAGCCTGGGGCCTCTGTGCTTTCGTGGGCCTGGGATAGGGACCCCTTGAGGGTTGCCACTATCCTTGACCCATTGGCCTCATTGCTAGGGGCCTAGGATGTAGCAGACCTCCCTTGAGCGCTAAAGAAGCCTTGGCAAGGAGAAGCATGAGCCATACCCATGTGATGACTCAGGGCTTGAAGCCAGGGTGACCTCGCCCATAAGATCAGGGATGCACAGAACAAAAGAGGCCTGACTCTGCACCCCCACCAACTGCCCACTCTGCAGTTAGCTCTAGAATGGGGTTTTGGCCTGTGTGCAGTGCAGATCTCTCTTGAACAATGAAAATTTAAATTGGCCCTTCGATTATTCCAGTTTATGGTGGACTTTGGGGGGGGGTTCTTAGGACCATGTTTTCATATAAAAAGCATTATAATGGTGGTTTCATTTTTTAGTCTATTTCCTAATAATTTCTAAAATGGGACTTGTCTTGATTGCACTCTTGAGAACATAAGATATCTCTGCTGTATAGTCATTTGCCATCAGTTCAGTGTATAAGTGAAATCAGGATTTTTTGCCTCAATTAATATCATTTTAAGCTACATATACTGCCTGTGAACACATGAAGCTGCCTTATTGAGCCATACGTACCACTGGTCCATCAAGGTTAGTGTTGTCTACTGTGACTGCTGGTGGCTCTCAAGTGAAGGTATTACACATCACCTACTTTCTGATCCTTTTACCTGGAGATGCCAGAGATTGAGCCTGGGACCTTCAACAAAGCAGATGCTCTACCACTGAGGTACAAACCCACCCATTTTTTGGCCAGTAAGCCAAACATAAAAACTATTTCCCTCATCATATTCAATTACATACTTTCTTACACCTGAACAGGTTGTTTATGCAAAACTCATTAGTCTATTGGTTCAAATTCCCATTTTTAAAGCCTTCCAAAAATTAGGCATTTAGCTTATTCATATACAATGATTTGTTAATTCAAATATATAACAAACACCTCCTAAAGACTCAGGCTGGACAACAAGTTAACTTAAAAAGTCATACAAACCAAATAAAATGACAATAAAATTCAAGTGCTGAAGTCCATTAAAATTACTTTGGCAGCTTTAGCCCATTCATGTCTTAATGCTTCCAAAAGATGATACAGGTTGACTGGGTTGACTTTTTGCGAGTTTTCACTGGAGGGGATTCTGTAATGAGTGTTGTGCCCTACTGCTGTTTGAACTTGGCACATGGATAGCAGTGTAATGGCTGTGAAAGAGCATAGCAGAAAAGCAGAATAAATCCAGAGCTGTCCACAAAAGACCTACAATATTCAGCAATCATGGTCACAGCACCTCATTATCAACGGTATTAAAAGCCACAAAAGACCTAAGGATCAGGATGGTACAACTTCCCTACTGGTCTAATATTAATAACTGGCTCCTCATACTGATATAACTAGGACACAGCTATGTCTATGCTATTTTTGAAGGGGTAGATAACATCATAGGTCAGAACCCACACTTCATTTCCTCTAAGCTTTCCTCTGATGAAACATGCTGTTTCCAATGGATAAAGACATTTACCATCAGATGGTCTTTCTCCATCAGAAGATTACTTTCTTTCTTCAAAGAAGAGTTGGCAACAGTCAGGATTCAGAAGATCCAGCTTTGCAGAAAGATACCATAGGACACAAACTCTAAGCGTTTATCGCCTTTGATTTCTCAGTACAATGGGCCACATTTTAGCTATAGTTGAATAAACCAAAATCGGTTCTTTAAAAAAACAGAGAAGCCATCAGCTATGAAATGCTGAGCTATTGAGACAGCAGAAGATTATGTAACTATTGCACATGATACAACTGTTTGTGTGCATTTTCCCCAGGATGCTCCCTTAGGCATTCTTTGTCTTTCTATTCTGCCTTTTCTTGTCTGTTTCTTATTCACACACTCCGGAAACAATCAAATGGGCTGCAACTATTAGAAGTATTCCCAATCACTTGTCATGATGCCTAAAAGCAGAAAAAATCATATGGAGAGTAATTTAGAGAAACCCTGTGGTCAGATTTGGATAGCAGCATTCTGTATGAATGGAAATATGGGACATATACACTTGAAAAACAAACAAAAACAAACCCCATGTTGTTTCTAAAGCCCCCTAGCAAAGAATCCTATAAGAAAAAAAGAACTTCTAATATCTTTTTTCCCCTATTTATTTCTTTATTTTGAAAATGTGTACACTGTCTTTTCACTGGGCACAGTATCTGAGGTGGTTTGCAACCAATAATGACACTGTAAACCCGTACATTTCTGTATTGACTTCAAAGATAGCTGCATGTTAAATAGCTTGATATAATCTGCTGAAGAGGTCCCCGTGGCTGGGATGTTTATTGCTAAGTCACTGCAGCTACAGCATCACTCTTAGTTCTCACTGAACCAGTAAGCCACGGTAAGCTCAATTTGCTCACAGAAAAGTAGTATGGCAGGAAGAAGAGTAGGTTAGAATCTCTCACTGATTTTCTTTTTTTATTATTATTTAAGCATTTTTAATAATATATCCCCCAAGAAAGAAAATACAGCATAATATATCCCCCAAGAAAGAAAATACAGCATTTACATATCAGAAAAGGGAAGAAAAAGGAGAGTGTTACTTGCATCTCTCTAAAGCCCAGAAAGATTTTTAAAAGGTCTGGACAACAATAAAAAATGGGTAACTTTAGAAAGATATTTGAGGTGTGAAACATCGATTTTAATAATTTCATACCACAATCTATATGCATTTTAAAATTGTAGGCACAAAACAGTACGACTCAGAGTAAGTCAAATACAAAAAACACAATTTTTCATAATGCTTGCAATACAACACTCACCAGCAGGGGGCAGAGCACAGAGGGAAGGGAAGACAGCAAAATCAAATAGTTCCTGGCAGAGAAGACAGCTTATTTTCTGAACACAGGGAGGTTGTTGTTTTAAATGACGCCATAGTGGGGGGGGGGGTGGGGGGGGGCTACCTAATAATTTGGGAACTTCTAATTTCTCATAATTCATACTCTCTTGTACAATTATATGAAGATGATGATCCTGGTTGAGGTACAGAATAGAAAAAAATCCATTCTATCAACTCAAAAAAGCACAGAAATAATTTTAGAGACTTATCAGCAAAACAAAAGAGACTACATTCGAACAATTTGGTGTGCTGAAATTTAAACCACAGACAGATGAAGACAAGTCTGATGTTAGGACAAGACAGTGCCATATCCAAGGTCCTAGGAAAAAAATCCTTGGGTATCTGGTGCTGGGCGAGACATGCTCTGGAATGCCCAATGCAGGATCCCATCAAAAGTATTCTGAAAGACAATAAAGAACAGAGATACTTTGTCTGTCTAGCTGGTAATAAATATTTAAATACAAAAGCAACTTATCAAAACAGAACAGACTATAGGCAATAGTGCTAGAGCCATTCTCATGTCACAGAGCTAAGTTTGCTGTGTCTAAGTACAAATTCACAAGGCATGAAACTTTGATCTGGCATCCTTCCTAACAACTTGTGGGAGATTCTACTGCATGAGGAAATGGGAAGTTATGGAACTGCTCATGTCATAACAACTATTATTGGCAAAATAACATTAGGAGAGACTGATGAAAGTGGGTTAGTAAAAGCACAAGAAGATAGTTTCTATTACCTCCCCTAATAGAGAGTCCAGCTCATCTTTATTCAGAACTGGTTCAGCCCCAGCAGATTCTTCCACCACCTATGATTTAAAAGAGAATCTTGGTAATTTAATTAATCTAACATAAATGTTGGGTAGCATAATCAACTGCAGTAAGGAAGCCATACTATAGTAAGCAAATCCCCACTAACAGGACAGCACTTTGAGCAAAGTTTGAGTCCAGTGGCACCTTTAAGACCAACAAAGTTTAATTCTGGGTATAAGATTTTGTGCACATGTGCACTTCTTCAGATACATTGAAACAGACTTCCTCAAGCCTTACATATCGGTAGGGAGGGGGGTAGTTAGTTGCCAAGAAGGGCTAGTCAGAGTCAAGATGCATAAGTTACTGAGTGATAAATATAGCTAAGATCAGATTAAAGCAGTTGGTAAGACCTGTGTATAGCAGCAAATTAGCATACAAATAAAAGAGTTAACAAATAGATGTGAGAATGAACTTTGAGTCCAGTGGCACTTTTAAGACCAACAACAGCTAATTCTGCATATAAGTGAGAACTGAGTGACTTAGTATGTATAGATGCAAACTTCTTCAGGTACATTAAAGCAGACTTTGTCAGGCATTACATATAGGTGTGGGGGGTTAGTTGCCAGGAAGGGCTAATTAGAATCAAGATGCATAAGTAATTGAAAAGTAAGTATAGCTAAGATTGGATTAAGTAAGACCTGTGGATAGCAGCAAATTAGCATACAGATAATAAAAGAGTTAACAACAGATGTGAGAACTAAGTTTGAGTTCAGAGGCATCTTTAAGACCAACAAAGTTTAATTCTGGGTATAAGCGAGAACTGAGTAACTAGTACTTTGTCATCTCCTGCTGCAGCCTAGTGAGCTCCCACGATGCTTCTCCTGGGAGACAGGGGCCCCTCACGAACAGTATGGGGGGAGCAAAGTGGGGCTCTGCAATGGGAAATAGAAACTTGCCTCCACCTCAGATGTCTTATGCCACCTAGAAATTACCTTTAGATAATATTCACACATCCCCCCTGCAGACAGGATTTCATACTGTATAAGAATCTTATGGGGTTGCCCCGATGATGAGAGAAATAAGCACTGCAAAATGCTCTGCATACTAAAAGGAAAAAATCATTTACAGAGCAATCCTAAATGGAGTTATACCCTTTTATGCTCATTGAAGTAAACATTGCTTTCTGTCTCTTGGCATAGAGCAGTGTGACCAAGAGGCCAACAGAGAGGTACCAGCCACTACCAACCAAGTTCTGAAACTACAACAGAAGGATGAGTGAAGGAAATGGCTTAATGAATCTTGTATGTTCTCAAAACAACCCCTTGAAGTGGATTAGTCTAAGTCTTGCTCATGACCATCCAAATCAGCTTCATGGCCAATTTGATCCTAATTTTCCACAACCTTATAATGCCAGTGTTCCAAACTAGCAGGTGGGAAACACTTATTATTATTCTCAAGTTTCAGTTGTATGAATTCACAATGTTTGTGGCAGTCATCCTTAAAAGCCTCACCTCTCTTCCAAGGCTCTGAACCAATCCTTGTACTTTAGGCCTCATGCAAATCCAAGTGATTGTCAGCCAATCAGAGCCCATGGAGGCTCAGAGGAGGTGAGCCTGCCTCAGTTTAAATGGGGTGAGGAATTTATTTTTAACTTTTGAATAGGGATGTTGTGGCTCTGGAAAGGTGCATCAGCTTAGCGAGGCTTTTATATGGCTCTTTCATTAGGGTTTCGGGGTCAGCTTAGTGTGACAAATAAGCATCCTGTTAAGGACCCATAATTCCTAACTGGTGTGTGTAGGTTCCGTAGTAAGGGGCTCTGTGAGAGAAGAGAGCAGCCTTGAACCTGCTGAGGCAACCTGTCCAGAGAAAGGGGAATCAAATCAGCCGTCAGGGGTTATTTACACCTCCAGGGGTTATTTATCTGAGAGCCAGCTGTATTTTATATACATCGTATTTACCTTATTAAATACTTTATTTTCTGTAAAAAAAACCTTTGTTGTTCATTTCCATCCGTGTCTTGTCAAGACAAAAATCTAAGAAACAGGGGTCTCTATTCACATATTAGTCTAGCAGGTTTCCAGATAAGAGACTTTTAGGAAGCATATAGTTTACACATTACAGATCTTTAATTAAAAGCTCGTGTTTCCCTTTTTATTTGATTGCAGGTGGCTGAGGTATAGAGAATACAGAAGAGGCCAGAGTGGGGGACTGGATATTCTTCAGTATGGAAGGCAGTTGCCTCAGAGCTCCCCCCCCCAATAGTTGCCATAATGTTCAATAAATAGGACAAGTTATGCATTATATAAAAGCCAAGCAGAACATCTGGAAAAGCTGTATCAATCCTAGTCCACTTTGCTTTTATTGCAGAATTCTTAGAATTTGGCCAGATGCCTTTTCTTGAAACAGCGTAGTGCCTAGTGACCCTCAGTTGCAATACTCTTGCTCTCTGTGCACTTCTTCTCCATAAGTTCTTCCTCCATGGGTCAAGTGAATTAATTTTAAGGAAGTCTGTCTCTGAATATGCACAGAGACTGACTGTCTGCATATCCTGTAACTTTGCTGAAGAACACAAAGAGGCGGGCCTGAGGTTCATTATCAAAGGGGGGGGGGCTTTCCCAAACAAATAAGTGAAACAGGGTATCTCTAGCTGCAGAAGGGAGTGTGTGTGAAAATATGCATTTTGGTGTTATTTTTAAACAAGGAGGAAGAAAAGATAAGTGGAAGACTGATAGTTAAATAATGACCAGGATGTCCGAAAACACAGGAGTGAGTGAACTGAGACCAGACCATGGGAAGAGAGACAGTCTGCACAATCTCCTTGTGGAACAGCCAAATTATAGCCACACAAAAGTGGATACTGATGCAGATGTGCCCTAAGTTAAGGTAGGCAATATCACATTCAGCTCAGTTTCACCTACTGCTGCTCCCAAAAACCTGAACTCCTCCCTTGAACAAGTAAGGATTTTGCCTCATCCTTCTAATACCTCCTCAAAACCCAACATTTCCATGAGGCCGTTGGCTTAACCCCTACATTCCCATTCTGCTTTATGTAATTAATTGAATTTTCTCACATCCAGCCTTTCTTACCCTTCTCTCTCCCTTCCATCCCTCTGTTGCTTTCTTCACTCTTAAGTAAAGAATGCAAGCTTCTACAGTGTGGACTTCCCACAGTTTCATTTATGAATCTTTGTTAAGCACCATATACCCTGCTGGTGTCATATAAATAAACAGCAACAACAGCAATGTATTATGTTAGAACTAACCCTATTGGATGAGTTGCCCTGTGCAAAAAAATAAAACCTGGAGGCTGTCAAGTGTCACTATATGCAAAATGGGGAATTGTTTCAACACAACAAGGTTTTGTTAATCATCATCTTTAGATATGCTGGTAGAGGTGCAGTTCTTTCCCAGCAAATTCCCTCCGTTGCTTTCATTTTTACCCAGAAAGCTAAAAGGATTTTGGAAGTCCTGACCTTTACTGTTCTTAGCGCTGTGCTGCTTGAGGTTGCTGCTCCTTCCACAGTGACAGTAGCAGGGCTGCCAGAGCAGGATTTGCAGATCAAGATTCCACTGGAAGAGAAGAAGAACCATTAAGAGCTTCTTGAAGCTAGAGGTGCAGTGCTAACAGCCAGCAGACAAAAGGTGTGCCTCAACTAAATCACTTCAGGCTGTAAACTGTGGGGCTCACATCATGGAATATCTATTTAACTTAAGAGGAAAATTTCCTGGTAAACTGCTGCCCTAGAGGGCCATTGGTGGCCAGCAGCAAGCAGAGCCAAGCCTTGATAGCTTCGCCAGTGCACCAGGAGCCACTTGGCTTGGACCCTCCAGTGTCAATGATAATCAGGGTAAGCTCATCAATTGCCTCCTCCTGCACTAGCACCAGTTTGCAGGAGGAAGCCATGGATGAGCACTGTCGGCATGGCTGAACTGAGTGGCCCCTGCAACTCTTACTTAACAGTACTGCAGAGGGGCTCCTCAGCTCCAGGGCCATTTTAACTTCCTAGTCTGCTCCTGAATGCTTTGCCACACCCTGGGGAAAAAACCCTCTCCGCATTAAAAAGAATAGATGTCAGGGTGAACACTAAGCTAGAACCTTTCTGCCTGACAGCTAGTTAAGTATTTGCAACACTCCCCCCCCCCCCCCCCGTGGCACAATATTCCTCTGAGCCCTTACCTCCAATCTCAACTAGTATGGCACAGACAATATTCTTCACCTGCTGTTTGTGAGAACACGGTTTAAGATGGGCAGACAAGCTGTGTGGTAATATTAAGACTGAGTCACATGGCTGAAAACTGGCCTTGGCTACACTATACAGCTATATTATGAAATGATCAGACAACTGCTTTGTGAGGTATTAAACTTATTGTACAGTCAGTGCAATAAAGGCAAGCAGAGAATACAGAATCTGTTCTAAAATGCATATATGCTGTAAAACTATGAGTTTTGCAGGCTCTATACTCAAGATCCTTGTTGTTGCAAGTAAAATACTAGAACTCAAATCAGGTGGTACTTGGAATGGTTCCAGACAAAGGTGCCAGTGTTCAGCACACCTAACACCCACAAACCATCAAATAAATCTGTAGCTCCAACAATGAATCTGCTAGTCCATCATGTTCATGAGCAAAACAGGTCCAAAGAACAATAGCTACATCAAACTGCCCTGCTGGCTTTTTTCTTGCAGTGCCTATCCCCATTTCCATCCGTTTCAATTTACATGTCAACATGCTAAGAATGCTCTTCCTTTATAAGATACTGAGGTGGGTAGAGGAAAGAAAATACTTCTACTGTACATTTATACATTAAAACCCATTGACAGAATTCATTGTTACATTATCCTTCAGTTCATTCTGTTAGATTACGTAGCAATCTTCTACACAACCAGTATTTTGAGGCCTAAGAGGAACTCAGCACTACATGAGTATCACATTCAAGAGTGGAGATTAGGTAAACAACTTTTAGATAGTGGCTATCCATATAGAATTGTCTAGGACACTGATATTACAGTTGAAAAAATACCCAGGTGTGAGTTGCTTCTAGATAAAACTCAACCCATTAAGAATCACATTTCCTGTGCTTTTCAATATATATATTTGTCCTATTCCATCCAAAGATTAATATTTAAAAATCAGCATGTGGTTAAATGTCTATCTGATTATAACTGCCCTGAGACTGCCTTCGTGGGGTATAAATCTAATAAATGAATGAATGAATGAATGACTTCCCCTTTATTGAACTAAGAATTTAAAATTTTGGGGACATTTTAACTCATTCTGATATCAATTACATGGCAACAAAAAAGGGAATTGGTCTTAGGTCATTACTAATGTGGAGTCTATTCTGTCTGTTCTCTTTCTTGTGAGATAAAATGTCATGAACATCCATAGAATCACCACAAGTTTGAGATGTACCATTTCTCTAATTGCAATCCTAAACATGTCATATATGTTATCACATGTCCCTGTGGCTTAATACATGTGGGTGTGAGTATCTGCTCTACCAGAACTCATGTAGCGGAACATTGCTCTCGTTTTCAAACTATGGCTAACAGAAGCACCTCTTGTTACACATTCTGTAGAAAAAGCACATACAGGTACAAATTTGCAGGTTTTTTGTGATTGAAAAAAATTATTTCACATCATCTTAAGAGTGGATCTCTATACATTGTTTGTACACAAGGAGGCAGAGTAGATTTATTCACCATCAAGCTGCAGTTTCAATCTGAACCTGTTTTTAACAAACCATTTGAATTAGCCATATTCCTAGATGAGGAATATAGCACAATAGCAACTCTACACCCCCCCACCCCGGCCGATGCAATCTTGATTTTCTGTATGATCCTAATTTTGTCTGTATTTATTTATTGGTGACCCTTTCCCCCTTGAAATCATATACTTCTCAGTGCACAGGTCCCATTAAATTAATACTTCTCTCATTCCAGTGTCATTCAATAAACCTACTTGCACACTTGCTGTGAGTTATGTCGATTATTACATCACCTATTTTGTTATCATGTCTCATACTTCCTTTAAATTCACTTTACACATTACACTTTGTAATGAGGGCTTTATTTCATGTGCTGCTATTGGAAATCTTCATGCAGAAGATTATGTAAGTATATGGGATTCCTGAGTATGTATGAACTGTATTGTTTTAGTTAAAGTTGATTATGATTATAGAACATATTATAGTATTATACACTTCAGGGATTCCTAACTTAGAATGCAGAATATGTTTGAATGAAGTTTCTCTGCTGTTATTCTGGCTCTATACAAGATAGGTGAGGCTCTTTTAAACTTCGACTTAGTGAATTTTTGTAGCTCCCTTCAGCCTGGATGTAAACAAAGAACTTTTCATTTTGAATTGACATTAGTGGGTTAGCATTGACAAGGAAATGCTTCAAACTGCAGCTGTGTTAAATAAAGTTCTGTAGAGTTCTTCCTTCTTATGTTTGAAAGAAATCAAAAAGGCTTCCGGTCTGGCTCCCGCGTATGGCGGACGCATCCTCGGGTCGCTCCCGAGGGTGCCTCGCCCGCCCGCGGTGGAGGAGGGAATCCGCGCAAGTGGAGACCCGAACGAGCCCCTCAGGAGAGAGGAGCTCGGATCCGGGGCGCTTTAGGGAGCACTAGGGGGGAGTCGCTCTTTGAAAAGATCGGCTTAATTGTGAGTTGTCAAAATGCAGAGAAAAAGAACTAAAAACGTTTTCCCCCCCTCCCAGCGAAAAAGGCGAAGAGGTTAACCCTCCATTTGCATAAGCGAAAAAGAAAAGGAGGGGGGGAATGGATTGAGCGGACAGTGATGTTTTCCTTTGATGTATTTGAAACAAAGCGGGAAAAAGTTTTGTCTCTCTGGAGCACATTTTAAGAACTTTCTAAAAGTAAACAAAAAAGGAAAAGATGTCGGAGCTGGGCAAAAGCGAGCGGAGAAGAAGGGAGGGACTTCCGTCTGGGCGTTTGCTTGTGTGCGAGAGCCGGCTGTTGAATGTTTGGACTGTTTATGGCTGTGAATCCGACGGGAGTTTTGTAAAACGGAAAAGTTTGAATTGTGACAGCGAGAAGTGCCTGGCAAGCGCTTATATAAGTCAACAATTGCGAGGAGGACCCATAGAGAGTTTGGGAGCGGATATAAAAGCGAAAATGAAATTAATACCATTCTCAAAATTGGGGACCTCCGGTAATGGCATGAAAAGAAGAGGATTTATAGTGCATGAACTGAGAGTATTAACAACAACCCGAAGGAGGATCAAACAAGCCGGAAGGAGAAGACAACAGAGGAAGCTCCTCCACGTCAGCGATAGTAAAAGTACCCAGCACGCAAAGAAGCGGTTCTGAATGTGCACAGAAGAGATTTTTTTTTATTAACAGAAATTCAAAGGAACATTACTAACATACTAACAGAGAACTACATGTGACAGGACTAAGAAAAGAAGTTTGACAACACACAGAAGAAGCCCAAGAAGATTAATTGGACATTACTAACAGTTTAATTTACCAGTTTATATATCACTCAGCTTTCTCTTTCTCCCACTGTCTACCCTTCCCATTTTTTCTTTTAAGCGAAATACCTCCCCTTTTTAGGGGAGCCAATAAAATCTTTATTAAAAAAAAAGAAAGAAATCAAAAACAATGTTTAGCTTTAATGTCCTTTGTTACTTATTATAGTGAATATATTCCTCCTCACAAAAGGTCAGTACGACTTTTGTCTACTAGTTATTTGTGTACTGAAAAAGAATCCCTTAAAACAGGACTACATATGGATAGTTCTGTTTTTGCAATTTGGTGTGGTTACTCTTTCATCACCGTAATCTGTGAACCATAATTATTTCTTGTTATTGTATATTCTTCGGCAAGTACTGCAGCAATCATCCAAAATATATTTACAGTATTTGATGTGGCACTGTATTTTTCCCCTCATTTCCACTTTAGCACTAAGTCATTAACTGTGGAATCCTAAATGGAACTGCGTCTTTGTAAGTCCATGGTCTAACTTGGGATTGCTGTGCTAACCAGCTCCAGTATACCATCTGGACTAGCAGCCAAGAGGTTTGGAGAATTAGTAGCAGTTTTGTACTTGAATGTAATCGGCACCTGATTTGATCTGCATGGGCAGGAAAATGGCAGTGCCAGTGGAAAGCCCTGAAGCATTTGCTGCAGTAGATCATGTCACCTCCTTTTCTGCATACCCCACACTTTTCCCCAGTGGTCAGTTTCTGCAAAACAAATGAACAAACAAACAAAGGAGGAGTCAGTTTGTAGTAAGTCTTGGCTCTCTCTTGTCCTCCAGAGCTGTCTTTCCTGCAGGCTGCTGCATGGGAATAGTCTTCTTTTTCTACCTAACACTTTACTGCCACTCTGTAAGTGTAATTTCCCACCAGCCCCATTCTTAGGACAGTTTTAGATAAGTAGCTGTGTTGGTCTGCAGTGGAACAGCAAGATTCTGATCAAGGAAGCTTTGGTTCTGAAAAGCTGGAAATCTTGTTCTTTAAGGTGCTACTGCACTTGAATCTTGCTATTCTTATTACAGAAGCAGAACAGGAAATTAAACAATACAATCAGCACAACTAAATGCCAATTTAAATGCATACAAAAGTGAGCAAGAACAGTTTAAGCTATTTTATCTTGGTGATACTTGTGGACTTACTGTGCATTAAATGATACATGAGGCATGTTTTGTGGACCTCAAATAACCACCCCTCTGTTTCAGAAGTCTGCCATAGCCCTTTGAATCTTTAATATGCAAGAAAAGCCTTCTGGAAGGAAGAAGGAAAGTACCACTACAGCAACAAAATACTTTGATAGTCTCTGATTCTTACACAAAGCATTTGAAATGGTCAAAGATAACTGAAACTAGTGAAAAGTTCCATAGCAAAGTGAGCTACTGACCAGCTGGGTCTCTGTTCCCACACTCTGTAGTGTTGGTAGTACCGCCACAGACACTGGGGGTGCAGAAAGCAGTGGCTGCCTGAAGGAAGCCCCAACAGGTTCTTTGATGAGAACTCTCTTCCGATCTTCGGCTGTTTTCTGGCCATAGAGGGCAAGAGGATCCTATGCAAGAAATATCATGCCAGTCTCTACTCTGTAGCACTGCAGGATTCTCTTAAAATGCCTTGAGAAAGATGGAAGGATCACATTCATACGGAGGGTGGCTGCATTTCAAATGTCTGGGCCATAACTGAGCAAAATTCAGACTGGGCCATGGTAAAGGGGCATGAGGAGCTCTGCCTGCTGCTACAAGGAGCAATGGAAAGAAGGGCAACTCATTAGGGCTGTTTCATGTATGATATTGCTCTACACGGAAAAGCTGCATAAAGAGACACTGAGTTGACAGGAACGGGGGAATCATGGATCACAGTTATACCAGAGTCTGAGAAAGTCGCTGTCTGCTGCTCTCTTCTTCGTTGTGCCTGTCCTGTTTCACCTTCCCTGGAGAGCAGGAGTCACACCTCCATGTTCCGCTGCCCAGTATCCCAAAGCAGAAAGACAGGAATGTGATCATAAATAACAAGGAAAGAAGGCTAAATAAATGTAAATAGAAATTATTTGCTCTTGCAAATGGCATCTCTGTGAGCTAGAGGTAGATCTAACATAGGCTGAATTATGTCATGAGAATGACCCATTCTATAGTTCCTGGTCACATGGTTGGAATATTTAGACACTTCCCAGAGGTTTGGGATTGTATCATAGGAAAGTTGTTCCCATGCCACTGGGTGTGAGCATAAGTTGGGGCCTGATTAACCTGAACCATAGATACATATTTAATAAATGTTTGCAACACAAAGGCTTTAGTACCATCAGAAGGCTGTATACTAGTGTGGATAAAGGAGACTTATTTTGGATGACAAATGGGAAGGTGGAAGGAATATCCCATATTTATTAGGTTTTGCATTATTGATGATTTAGCCATAGGAAGGATATCAGTGGGAAGATACAGTCAGCTAAGGAAATAGTGCAGTGACTACCTCAAAAATACTTTTCCCAGAAGAAAAGAACACATTCTGAAGACCTGTGTTTGATTCCAGTGGGATATATAAATGTTTGCTGTAGTTTAAACGTTCAGTGTGGTTACCTGGGAATTGCTGTCAGTGGTGGCCGAAGGCAAGCCAGGTGAAAGGCTTTGGGGCATCCATCACAGCAGATCAGCTCCCCACCATCTCTGCAGACAGCACATTCATCATCATTCTTCTGGCCCAACAAATGACAGCAGGATCAGAGCAGAGAGGAAACTCTGTTACCAGCGTGTCCCTCGGCATGCAGCTCAGCAGAAGTACCCACACTGCTTTCACCCACCCAACCAGACCATCATCATCCCCTGCCACCTATCACATTTTTATCCTGTTGTTCCACTAAAGAGTTCAGGGTGGTGCACACAGTTCTCCCCTCCTCTGTTTCATCCTCACAACAACCCTGGGAGGTAGGTTAGACTGAGAGACAGTGACTGGACAAGGTCAGCCTCTGAGCTTCATGGCTCAGTGGAGTGGAGTGGAGATTTACACCCAAATCCCTAGCCCAACAGTTTAAGTACTTCCCCACACAGGCCATTTCACTTTATGTCATCTCTTGGTATATTGGAGTCCTTCTATTACTGTGGATGGTGTCCATTGCCCTGAACTTAAAAATGTTACTGTACCTGGAATTTGTTATCAAGATGCAATATAGTGACAAAACTATGGAACAGAAGCTACTTGCGGCCACGAAAAAATTCAACATGAAGGCTTGCCCGTTCACTAACCCTTTCCATGCTCTCTATGCCATACTGATGGAATTCAAAATGATAATATGATCTCTAAGGTCCTAGTGTTGGGTATCCAAGAAATTAAATTCTAAGATAGAGTAAAGCCAGTACTTTTCTCCCCAGGTCAACACTATGGTCCGGTCAGAAAATCATATGCAAGTTGGCCAGTCCACTGTGGTCAGCAGCATGGACCAGTGTGCTCCCCAGTGTCCTGTTACCACCAATACTGTGGCTGTGAGGATCAGGTTCCTGGTCTAATAGCAAGGCAGAAGAACTGTCCAGCATGCCAAGAAGTATAACAAAACATTCAAGCAAAGTTCTAAGTCAAGACTGGGGAAAGAGGATGGGAGCTGTCCAACAAAGTAGTCAGCATTGTAAGTAGCGTTGTAAGTAATAATGTCAAAGAGCAAGACACAGTGTTCAGATAGCTGTTGAAGGTTTTGTCCTGAGCACCAGCCTTCCTAGTGCATTAATGGAGCCCAACCATAGTAATACTTAAGTCAAGAATTCTCCCTTGGGGCAGTACTGGGAAAAGGGCAACACCTATTTTGCAAAGCAAGCACTCTGCCTAATAAGGTTGGTTTAAACTTGGGTTCTTCAGCATCTTGCTTCTTGAAATCCAGAAGATGAATCTGAGGGGTTAAAAGAAACTGTACTGCAACTGGCTGAAGAATGGTGCAGTGAGTATACACAACAAGTGGTATCCCAGTCTTATCAGATGTGTCACCTCCTTTTGCCTCCAGCATATACTAGCGTCTGTAATTAACTCACAGCTGCAATTTTCACAGTGGTGACGGTCCACACCTGAATGTCAGGGTCTTGATAATCTTGTTTTTCTCCTCTGATATGCCCTTTCCAATTCTGATTCTGAGAGTTGGCAAAAGCATGACATGCATTTGTGGACAACATAGATTGGAAACACTGAAGTAAAGTTTCTAGAGCTGATCTTTCTGAATGTGTCCTTAGGGCATGAGAAGCAATGCTAGCAATGATGGGAAGAGGGGACTGGAGAAGGTGGTATGCTGATAACAAAGAGTCTTCAACTCTTTGCCTTAAGAACTTTGATCATCTCTGTAACAACAGTTAGGCACTGTCATGATGTGCTACTTCCTATGTGAAACAGTGCTTGTTCTATTCCAAGTTTTAAGTTCCTTCACCTGCATGGGCTCTGAGAACCCTGATGGGGTATAGAGAGTGTATGAAAGCAGCGCCTTTGCAAGCATCAGTGAATTGTTTGGCCAGAGGTGGGGAAAAAAACCTGAGCTGGATAAATCAGTGGGCAATAATGACTTGGATGTAAGCTGCAGCAAGGACGTTCTGTGCAGTTAGTTTTAAAATCTTTGGGGAATTCCATCTTGGCACAAGAAGGACAAGTTCTGTCAAGGAAAAATGTTTATCCTGACCAAACCCTGTCCCTTCAGGGAACCTGGCACAAATCCAGGTAGATAACGTAGGAAACCTGGGGCTTCCCAAGTCAGGTGGCACTGTCAGGGCATAACAAACTAACCTCAGCCATGCAGTGGGCTTTGGTGGAAGTAATGAGAGTTAGTGTGCTAAACTACAAGGTATCAGTGAGTGCAAAGAGTAGCTCTCCAAGTGCCCCTCAGCTATGACTTGTGTTGGAGAATTTCGCAACAGCCTTCTAAGCACCTATTTCCTATGTAGAAAGGGCAGATTTCAGACCAAAGGACTGTCTGCAGCATCTCTGTTAACTCCCGTCGGTTTGGGCATGATTTGTAGCTGAACGGCTGCCTTGATGGAAGGATGTATATTCAGCATTACTTTGAACACTTTTTTTTTTTTTTAAGGCAGATGTAAGAAAAGAATGGTTCAGGAAAAGTTTATGCAATCCATGCTTCTTCCCATTTCCCATATTAGAGATCAACTACACTTTACACATCCAAAATAAGCATCATGCTTAAAGTAGCTTGTGTTCATTTTGAGAATTTAGCTGCCAGGATTGCTTTATTAAGGAGAACAGAACAGAGGGGAGGGGGGGGAGAGGGAGGTGTCCTTTTTCAGCAAGAAAATAGCACAGGAAGAAAGGGTTAGCATTTCCCTCTATTCCTACACCATTCTCTACCACAATAAAGCAATCCTAGTTGCTCAATTTAAAAAACGTTATTTAAACTAAATGCGGGGAAAGACCGTGATTCATAATCGAGCTCTCAGCCAGCTTCCAATCTCAGGAGTTTTTAAATGTGAAAGTGAGGGCTGCCTTACGCTTCAGACGACACCTGCTTTTCCTGGGGTCCACAACATGCCTCTTAGCAAAAACACAATGTCTGCAGAAGGGGGATGTGTCCCGTAGGCTGAAGACATGGGACGATGAGCTGGAGGACTCCTTTGGGTCACAGCTCTCTAACTTGTGCCCTGCTGCATTTCTCTAGAGGCACCAGAGTCCCCTTCAGATGCTACCATGTCCCCCATAAGTACGTGTAGGAGAAATGAGGGAAACAAGTCTGCAGCATAAAATGTAAATACTACTGAAGTGTTGCTAACTTTTGCACACATTTATATTAAGCCACTACTCAGATGCTTCTCTTCCACATTTTCAAAAGGGAATTAGATAGGAATATGGAGCAGAGGTCCATCAGTGGCTATTAGCCACAAGGTATAGGTAGGGACTCTGGGGCAAGTGATGCTCTGTCATCTTGGTGCTTGGGGGGTGGGGTCAACAGTGGGATGGCTTCTAGTGTCCTAGCCCCACTAGTGGACCTCCTGATGGCACCTGGTGTTCTGTGTGATACAGAGTGTTGGACTGGATGGGTCTTTGGCCTGATCCAACATTGGCGTCTCTTATGTCCTTATGTTCATTTTCCTTTAAACATTATTTATTGCAGCATTTAACAACTTCCCATCTATTAAACCGTCCCTCTTTTGCTTGATTGTTCCTTCAAACTCCAGTTCCAGGGAATTCAAAATTTCAGAGGGTTTTTTTTTGGGTTTTTTTTTGCACTCTGAAGAGCCACTGTGATATAATGGATATTGTGCTGAACTTGGGACTGGGGATACCCGAGTTCAAATCCTTGCTGAGCCACAAAATCCACTGGGTGACTTTTGAGCCATTCACTCTCTCACCCTAATCTACTTCACCAGGAATATGACATAAAAAAAATAAAAACCCCTGGAAGAAGGATGGGATACAACTAGGATAAAACGAAATAGTGGAATTGTTTAATGGTGCATTAACTGCCTATGTTACTAAAGAGTCTGACTGCTAGAACATCCCACAGCCCCAAGAGGACAAAGCCTATGCAGACAGGCCTGTATAGACTGTACATGGGGAGAAGGTGTGGGTCAGCTGCAGACCACCTGCAGCGCATGCAGAAGTTCTCAGGTCCCGTCCTCAGCATCATCTGTAAAGACCAGGAGTTGGTGACGTGAGACTCCTGAAGCTCTGCAGAACTGCTGCGAGTCTGAGTAGACGGTGCTGACTTCAAAAGGCCAATAGTCTGACTCAGTATAAGGCAGCTTCAGGTATTCACACGACATGAATTGTACAAAGAGCAGCAGAGGGATAAAACAAAAGAAAATGTGAACAACATAGACAGGGGGCTGGAAAAGACATTATCCTAATGTAGAGGATCCCTCACATATTATGCTTACTCTATATGTTGGTCTTAAGACCGTAATAATGATAAACTAAACTAATGTAGAGGAAGAAAAAAATATTCTTCCCATTACCTGCTGGAGGGCTGGGTCAACAGTATGGAAAGAGATCGTGGGACATTTGTCCTGCAAACTTCCTTTCTGTTCTCCCTTCTGAAGACAAAAGAAGTGTTAGGATGTACGAAGGAATACGTTGGCTACAGGCTACGTTTGCACCTTGACAAAGAAATCAACCCACTGCTCCTCTCTGGTTCACCTCCCGCCAACATATGGCATAATCAAAGTGAATCTGCAGCACAGCAACAGAAAAAGGCATGTTTATAGATAAATTCACGGGGGAAGATGTATTTTACTTACACATTTTTGGAACAATGCATATAAGGATAATATGTGCAACCATCTATATTGTTTTCTTTGTTCTGATGTAAATTGTGGAATTATTTTATGTTAATAAAAATATTTCTTGGGAAAAGAGAACTCTCTTTCAGCAGTCTACTAACAGTATATTTCCTGTTGGACATTCTACAGCAGTTTGGTCATAGGGGAAGAAACAGGCATCTCCAGGACTTTGTGCGAGAGACATTGAGGCACATATAATCCAGAGAATAAGGCTATAGGTTCGGCAAGAGAGTTTTCATTGTTACTCTTTAAGGAAGAGTGAGAAAACATAACGCACAAACAGGCAACCCATAGTCTCCCCACAGATATGAACCAAGCGGAGCTGTGAACAAAAAAGGCCGAATGAATGAAGGGCTCAGGAAATGGGATGGAGTACTAAAGACTGACACGCACAACCTCTGGGCTTGCTGAACCAACTCTTTCAGCTGCTGACAACTTTGGGTCATGTGACTTGTTTGTTTGTTTGTTTTGCATCAAGGCAGAGGGATGAAATGCTGGCATGCAGAACTAGCTGCAAAGCTATATGGGTGCTATACAAATAAAAGCATCTACTCGGGGCAAATGTATTTTTAATTATATTTATATCCCACTTGTCAGCTTATAACAGTTTGATTACAACACAGAGATAGCATTTAAGATACTAGGGATATATAGTGGTGTGTATAGTGAATGCCTCTGGCCCCCATAAGTTGATAATCACATCCTCATAGGCAATAATTATATCCTCATTTCTCTGATAACAGGCCACAAGTAGTTTATATTAAAATAATCATACTACAATCGCTATGTTAAAACAAAAAGGAAACAAACACATGACTACCATGAACTTGTGGCTGCGTGAACTAGTACTGAGTTAACATGTACAGGTAGAGCCAGTACAGTGTAGGATACTCTTCATTGCAAAAGGGTCTGAGAAAGTCTGAGGGAGACAGAAACATCGTGTGGTACATACATATTCAGGGGCCTGTGATTCTTTGGGCTTTTGTTCACAAGCTCTGTTCTTCTCTCCAGGACCCTCCAGTTTCCTTGTGGTATAAAACTCAGCACCAACTTTGATGCATTTCTTAATATCTCCTGGAAAAGGAAGATTACATTAAGTTTATGCTGAAATCAGTTGACCTTTTTCTAACAGGGAACATGTTAATTGGCCCAGTTCAGACATCAAGCCAAACAATGGTTCATGCTAATTATAGGTTAAACTCCAAACCCTGGTCTGAGTGTTCAAACATACAACAGACATGACATAGCCTAAAACCATGATTCCATTATCTATCTTCTTCTCAGACTGATACATTCACTCCCATTTCTGAAGTGCAAGGCCCTCAAAAGGCTGAGCGTTTGCTGTAACTATGGTTTTTTAATTCAAGGATCACACCATTGTTCACAAGTTCACAAGTCCACTTTAAACCATGATTAATTTTGGCTTCCCAGCCAGTGGCTAACAATAGCTTCTTAAGTCAAACATGACACCACAAAACTATATTTACGTTTCCTTAGACATATTTTGGTATAGTTTGAATTGAGACATTTTAACTATAACTGGAATGTTGATCCAATTATTCCTTGCCAAAAAGTACTGGACAATCATATATGGCAAATACTTTTTTCTTCACCTATCCACCAAGATTAAAAAATGTCATGATTAGGTATGCCCTCTGAAGCACAGGAAAACAGAATAATATTAAGACATTATGGGCATTGGCCCATTTATTTATTTCCAGGCTGTAGAAACTGAAAATATTGCACTGCCCACTTTAAATGTTTTAAACTGGTTCTATTGTACTGATCCAATATTGTTATTTCATTTGACTGAATTATTTTAAGACTGTATTATATTTATTTCTGTGAGCCGCCCTGAACCTGCTTGCAGGAAGGGCAGGATATAAATCAAAATAATGAATACATAAATAAATAAGAATGTCAGACCTGTTCTGTAGAGTTAAAGTTCACGGGGAGGGCGGGGTAAAAATGCAAATAAATAAATAAATTAAAGTGGGCAGAATGCTGGATTTGGGGACACCTGGGGTCAACTGCCTGCTCTATTACCTATTCACTAGGTGACATCTCATCCCAGTCTTCCATCTGTGAACTAACCTCACACGAATTTTGGCAATGACAAAACACAAAAACCAAACTGTAAGGACTTTCACTGGGATGGTGCTTCCTCTTTGAAATTCTCTATGAAGAGGCTGGTGGTACCTTCCAGGGGTCATTTCGTAGAAAAAGAGCTAGGGGAACTCATTAGCATAACCCATTAGCATATGCCACACCCCCTGACATCAGGGGCCCGGCAGTGGACCTGCAAGGCCAGCGGGAGTGCGAGGAAGCCCCGCAAAGGCCCTCCCTGGCCCCAGGCAGGCGGGGGTGGGGAGAGGCGGGGAGGAAGCAACTTACCCTCCCTCTTCTCCTGCCTCCTCCTGGCTGAATGAGGGCTGGAAGCGGGGTTGCCGGAAGCAGGGGCTTCGTCATGTGCCCCGCCCCCCTGCACCTCACCCGGGGGAACTGCGTTCCCCCGTGTTCCCCCCTGAAATGACCTCTGGTACCTTCTAAATAAACATAGAATCAGGCTGCAAATGGCTGTTTTCACTTTCAGTAAAAGCATATCAAAAATTACAATTCCTTTTGACTATCCACCCTTCCTGAATGCACCAGTTACAATGCTCTAGTGGGGTCCTGGATGCAAGGAGTCACTGTATGGAGAAAGAAAGCTGGTGTGCCTCCATCTTGTCAGATGCATTAACCAGCACTAATTTTTATGAGCAGTGCCTACATTTTCTAGTGCATTATTATAATATTTCCCCCTCATTTCATAGTCTTTTAAACAAATACATTTTCGCAAAAGCACTGTTCAGTACTCTTGCTTCCAGAGGAACGTGTCCCTGCAATGGCATCTCTGAACATCTCCATCTCCATCAAACGTGATTTTTCTGTTAGAAGCTGCTAACCACCCAAGGCTTAGTCCTGCTAACAACCATGGGTAGCTAACCACTATCATCTTCTGCTGGAGAACTTCCCAGGGGCATTTGGCTGGCCTCTACTTTTGGAAGACTGCTGGACTAGATGGGCATTCAATGCAGCTCTTAAAACAACACAGAGGCAGAAGCAAATGTCACAACACTACAGTCCTGTATGGAACACAAAACGTTTTACTAGATTTTTCAATCTATGGGTTGAACTTAGGCCAAAGTCACTATATTGCATATACCTGCTATAAACAGAGTCCTATTCCTGTACAACTTCCATAGTCACTGCTATCCTTGAACCAGTTAATTATTAGTATGAGAATGATAGTGATGAAAAGCGCCATCAAATCACAGTTGAGTTATAGCAACCCTGTAGGGCATTCAAGGCCAGAGACATTCAGAGGTGGTTTGCCATTGCCTGACTCTGTGGAGCAACCCTAGACTTCCTTGGTGGTCTCCCACCCAAGTCTAACTAGGGCCAACCATGCTTAACTTCTGACAAGATTGGTTTGCCTGGGCCATCTAAGTCAGTGCCAGGTTGAGAATAAGTGAATATATACCTGACTCAAAAACCTGCTTGAGAAAAATTCCTTCTACATCCCCACTGGTTACTGGTTTTTCACTGGGTGTCACAAGGGCAGCCTTCTCAGCTGAAGCAGATAAAATCTGAAGGCCAGTTGTTTCAAAAATAGTCGTAAATATCTCGGGACCCATAATATATAAAGGCTACAGAGGAGAGAGCTTTGAGAACAGAAACAGTAAATGGTTGCTCACTATTCTCACTGTTAGATTTAGCCAAGTCCCATCCTCATATTTCTTTGTCTACAGCAACACCATTACTTGCTTAACTACTCTAAAAGTCATTGCAGTGCAGCAGATAATGCACATCTTACACTGAAAAAGACCGAGAATTTAAAAAGGAACCTCCAGATATTACAATTTTTGAATTCAAACTTCACTGCTTATTTGAAAGCCAAAAAATAAAATAAAATAAATCCCATCTAGATTTAGCCAAGGTTTAGAAAAAGGTGCATACTCACCACCCAAACCCTTGCTCCCTCTAAGTTGTGGAGTCTTGTGAGCAAAAATTCTACTTTGTGAGCTATTGTGAGCGAGCTATTTGGCTACTGCATAAATTAGTTTGCTCTGGAGCCATCCTTCCTGAGCTAAGACAAAAATGTGTGAGCCTAAAAAACTGTGAGCTAGCTCACACTAACTCAGCTTAGAGGGAACATTGTCAGTTAACCAAAGTGGCATAACCATGTTCTCCCTTGCCTTTTCCCCAAGCTACCCACCCCTGTTCATTCTGTCTGGTACAAAAGGTGATAAAGTTACAAGAGGAAAGTCTAATTTCCAACTGATTTGTGAGACAGGATGGAAGTGAATCATGGAACAAAAGATTCAAACAGTAATTTGGACTTGTTCAACTCGAGTTGCCTTTGGGGCTAATTTAGAACCTTCCATTGTATACTAGGATTGGATATGGCACACCGGAGCTCAGATCACTGCTCTTCCATGGAAGTTCCTACGTAGTCATGAGAGAGCAGTTACTTTTCGGTCTAAACTAACTTGCAGGGTCCTCGTAGGATAAGGACTGCAAAAAAAGTGCTTTGGATGCTGAAAATGCCACCGATATTATAAGAAATGACCTATTGTGCAATTTTTTGAACTGTGAGACAAGGAATAAGGAAAGACAGTGCTTCAAATAGTAATGGAATCAGCATGGGTATGGCAAAGCAAAGTGCTTACCATTTGGAGGTGGACAATGCTGAATTTCAGTGTTCTCTGCTTTCTTCACTGCTTTTGCCTTGGACAGAGACCCTGTTGATCCATAATACAGGGTTACAACATTCTGAAAGCAAGATGTACAGCAGGTATGCATCCCATTAAACTAACATAGGTGCTTTGAGCCTTGGTCAGAAGCTCATAAAGCATCTGCAGAGAAACACTTACGGGAGGAAATTTAGTGGAGCCCCCAACATCATGTCATGTTTAACATGAATATAGCTTACAAAGAAAGAAAACACATAATGCTGACATAAATGGGATTCTCCCTTTGGGGCTTATGTGTCATAATTTGAACTTGGTATGTATGTGTTTAGAGGTAACATTTAAATGTTATCTGTTGCACATTTCTGCTAAATTCCAACCCCAGCAAGTATTTCTATACCAAGGTGTGGGTCGCCTTTCACTAGAGGCTGAGGGTGGTGGGAAGGCTCCTTCTCCTCTGTTGCCTTTCGCTTTCCATGAGACTTGTGCTGAGCCAGTATCTTAGGGCTGGCTGGGAGTTTCCTTGCCTTGCGATGCCTGCCAAGATCCATATCTGAAGGGGGGTGGGGAGAGAAAAGCCAAACAAATATTATTCAATAAAACCGACATACTACTAGGTAAAATGGGTTAAAATCAGCCGCATCAGATATGGGTAGGGTTGACAACTTTTACACTGGTCTCTCTACCTGTGTCTTTAATATCAGTTTGGTCTGCAGTAAATACCTTCATGCCATGAAAAGCTTCAGCTGCTCATTTCCACACACTAAACCTCTACTAAAGGGACAGGAAATGTTTTCCCCATGCCAGTTGACTGTTGCATATATGGGTAGCCACCATTAGTAACCTCCTCTCGAGCAGCAGTTTTAAAGCAGAGGAAGTATCCATCCTGCTCCCCCCATTAACAGTGCCATCCTTTACAGAGTTACAGCATTCTAAAGCAATTGATTTCAATGGATTTAGAAGAGTGTAACTCTCCTTAGGAAGAAGAAGAGAAGAGATTGGATTTATACCCCGCCCTTCACTACCCAAAGGTGTCTCAGAGCGGCTTACAAACTCCTTTCCCTTCCCCTCCCCACAACAGACACCCTGTGAGGTAGGTGGGGCTGAGGGAGCTCTGCTTTTTCAAGAGCAGCTCTTATCAGAACTACGGCTTGCCCAAATGGAGGAGTGGGGAATCAAACCCGGCTCTCCCAGATTAGAGTCCGCGCACTTAACCACACCACCAAACTGGCTCTCACACACAATCACACACACTAAATAATGCACTTTCAGTGCACTTCCCAACTGGATTTTGCCAATTCACACAGCAAGATCCAGTTGGAAAGTGCACTGAAAGTGGATTAAAAGTGCATTATTTAGTGTGTGTGATCGCAGCCAGTGAGCTTTTTGTGACTGTGGGCTTCCAAGGGTGAAAAAAGATTCTTGTGTGAAGATCAATTGATCTAAAGACGAAGGAAATATATCCCCCCCTCCCCAAATATAATTCAACCACAGGAGAAAGTTCAGTTTCTTCTGGGCTAGAGTGATCTCAGTTGATACCTTTGGGAAAGCTGCTCCAAATGGATTGGAGCTTGGAATATCTCTCCAGGTTGTAATCCTTGAAGAGGACCCTCCAGAAGTCCTGGATAGAAGGAGACTCCTGACTCAGCAGCCATGTCAACATGGCATGAAAAGCCTTGTGGCAGCCCTCTTTCTCCTTCATACGGATAGTGTCCTTCAAGAAGGAGGGGAAAAGCCCAAGTTAATCTAGTCCTCAAGTGGATCAGTCTGTTCAGTTAAGGAACTCAGAAAACATTTCATTGTTAGCTATCACCTACAGGAAAAGAAACCTAACAGTTACAGTGAGATATGTTGTCGAAGGCTTTCACAGCCGGAGTTCATTAGTTGCTGTAGATTTTCCGGGTTGTGTGGCCGTGGTCTTGGCATTGTAGAACCTGATGTTTCGCCAGTAGCTGTGACTGGCATCCTCAGAGGTATAACACAAAAATGGAGCACTCTCTGTGTCAAGGGTGAGAGTTATAGTGTAGGAACATACGCTTCAAATCTGCAAAACACCCTGCCCTGCCCTGGATAGCCCAGGCAAGCCCAATCGCATCAGATCTCAGAAACTAAGCAGGGCCGACCCTGGTAAGTATTTGGAAGGGAGACCTCCAAAGACTACCAAGGCTGGGAGGCAGGCTATCAAGCCACTTCTCTGAACATCCTCCATGGCCCAATAGGAGTCGCCAGAGGTTGCCATGACTTCCAGGCAAGGGCGCGTGCACACACACACACACACATGTGCGTACGTGCACACACACAAAATGCAAAAGTACAAAAAAAAATCTGCAGAACATCCTTAAGATGTGAAACACCAATAATACTGAAACTGTGAAAACAGAAAAATAACAAACAATAAAACAAAGAACTGGAAGCTGCTATAGCACAAGTACTCCTTAACTAGCAAGAAAATCACCCACAGCTTAAAAGAAAAAAGACACACTTCAGCACACTCACACATCTTGACTAATGCACTTTCAACTGGATTTTGCCATTTCACCAAGTAAAATCCAACTGCAAAGTGCCTTGAAAGTGCATTATTCAGCATGTGTGAAATGATGTCTACTATACAGTACAGCTGCTAGGAAAGGGGCAGTAGCTCAGTGGTAATGTACCCTTTTTTGCTTGCAGAACCCCCCAGGTCCCATCCATGGTGCCTCCAGTAAAAAGACCTGAAGCAACAGGTGTCAGAAGAGACCTTTGGCAAGATTCTAGAGAACTGCTGCCATGCCCATTGAAGCAGACAATACTGAACTATATGAATCACTGGCTTGATTTGATATAAGACAGTGTCATACACACATAGTTTTACAGAGCACCAGATTTACAGTTTTGGAGATATGTTCAGGGATTTTCAAAAGGCACCAATGATATGAGCAAATTGGGACACCAGCCTTCCAGAGAATATGTTGAGATTCATGACCAAATGCAGATGAAACACTACACTCAATCAACTTCTGATGGAACTCTTTTTCAATAACTAGACTCAGATAAAGGCATATAGGAGCAGAATATGGCATATGGAAATTCCTGAAGAAAGGTCACCGTGAGTTGAAAATCAAAAAGTATCAAAACAGATCCACAAACACCACCAATACATTAGGATCTCTTACATTTCCTATCTTCCCATTTACCAGAGAATTAGTGCCTACTTTTCATCAAGATGGGATACAACCCCCCCATGCCATGAGAATGAGATTATTTTTCATAACTATGCATTTCTCACCTTGAACATCTCTTCAGTGACAACATCGTGATCCACAAGTCCATGAAGCAATGGGAAGACATCATCCACTGCCATTGAAATTTCTGTGCGGTACAGCTTCAGTAACTTCCTCAGGTCCCCTTCTCCCAAAGGCCTGTCAGAACTGAACATCCTGTCACAGAATAAGGTCTACAGGGCAGTTAGGAGTATCTGATTACTTACTTGAAGACATCACAATCTCAGCATTATTCGTGGAATATCTGTTTTCTAATGGCAGGTACAAGGAAAGGACATGCATCTTTTGTACAATTGAACCTGCTGTGTGGACTAAACCTCCCTTCTAAAGTAAAAATGCAACAGCATCCTGGATCAGTGCAACCTTTTATTGTCCCCTCAGATGTATCTCCAATGTTAACATCATTATTTTTCTATTATTTGTGGTCTTTTACTAATCCCTTTTTTCTTTTCCCCACTGTTTGTCCTTACTAACAGGCAGCAATACTGACCTCACTTGTCACATTGATAGCAGCATCTATTATTTTTTCTGCCTTTCCTTGTTCCCTTTTTTATGCAAGGATGAGTGGGATGGGTATGTAGGTGGTTATAGAGTAGCAAAAAAACCCACCTTATCAAATAGCTCATATAATTCCAGCAATGAAGCTCTGATGAATTTAGGAAGCTGAAACTGTCCAATTAAGCCTATTTGGCTGCTTTGGGATCTGAGAGCTTCACCCCACCTTGTTCCACCTGCATTCCCTGTATATTACCTTACATGAGTAGAAGACAGAAACTTTACACTGTATCTGGGTAGCAGTTTTATTTTTAATGCTCCAGTGGAGTTCCACACCCTCAATACAAAAGGCTCAATTGAGTATAATTTAGAAAAATGGTATAGTGTCTAAAGGGGGTACCCATAATGAAACAGACATGAAGAAATAACCACCATGCTTGTTACTACATTGTATCATTGCAGCTGATTTAAAAAATACTAACCCCCCTGGAAAGAGCTTAATCCAGGGCAGGCAGAGCCATATCAGTATGGGATGGTGCTGTGGCAGAATGTAGCAGGTTAGGAGCAGAGCTTGGAGAAACTTGTGGGCCAGAGGAAGAGAACAGCAGAACCTGCAGGTTATGGATGTAGCCACGTCAGAATATGGTGGGTCTTGTCCCCTGTTGCCGTTACAGCAGAAACCTGTGAGTCTCTCAGAGTCAAGCTGGAAGCTGTCAGATTATGGATGGATCTTCATAGCACCAGCAGAATTTAACAAAATTTATATTTTACTAGCTTTTGGAAGACTGGTACCAGTTATCTTAGAGAACAGCCTCCCCAGCTAATAGTCAAAAGGAATCCTTTATTTCAGACTGATTGGAAGAAATCCTTGGGCCCACAAATGATCCCTTCTGCACTCCTCTGAACACCTCTAAGCAGCTTGTTAACGAGAGGTTCCACGTAAGAACAGAACCTTGAATACTCACCATGGCTCTGAGATTAGAAAGGAGCGGTGGCGCAGGCGGTAAGAGATGCCTGCACATACATCTGGCCGAACAGCTTTGGCTGTTTGAGCCCCACCCCGGCCCTATGTCCCAGCTCCCGCCCACCCAGCGGCTCGAAAGCCCGTTAAAGGGCGATTAGACCAATGGGTACCTGCTACTAGAGCGGGGAGGCACCCGTCCCTGTGTTGCAGCGGCGAGTGGCGAAGCGAAGCAGTGGTCGACGGCGGCGGCGGAGAAAAATGGTGGCTGGCGAGGCAAGGAGCGAGCGAGCGAAGGAGGCCGGACCAACTGGCATGGAGGCCGAGCAACGCGACAGGCCGGAGCCTCATCGGGACAGAGGCCGCAGCGGAGCATGTGCGGAAGTGCGAGTGGTCCTGGCCGGAAATGGAATCGCTACAGCCAGAAGAAGGGAACTCCAAAGACCAGCACCAGAAAAGGACGCCGCCGACTACCGCCCGCAAAAACAGGACAACGACCGAAGATCCGCCGCAAAAAGGGTGCCTGGTAGGGTAGTCACCACCCCTGTATATCTTTGGCCCTAGGTTAGATTCTGTAAATGTGATTAGCACTCTCTGTAAGCCGCCCAGAGACCCTTAGGGATTAGGGCGGGATAACAAATTGAATAAATAAATAAACAAATAAATCTTGGAATGGGTGATTCCCACCAATTGCTCAGGGATGCAGGACTAAACTCTTCAACCTCCTGTCCCTCAGGTGGGAGTCACCCTGACTCAGTTTGGTTACTTCATGAGCTAATGGACACAGGAACAGGAAGGAACAGAACAGAGATTTTAAAAACAACCAAAACAGGTAAGTCACTGTTAGAAGCATAACGGATGACAACCAGAGAAGCAGATTATGAGCAAGATTAAAGAAGAATTAGAGACAGCAGGCATCTTCACCTGCAAATTGATCATACAGATTTGGTCAGACTCAGGATCCTGCTTTTGAAGACATTCCTCTGTTCTTTCTTTTTGTTGTTGTTCTTGCCCTCCTAATTTCAGAGCAGAAGGGACCCTCATAGCGAGTATCCAAGGTTCTGTTCTCTCTCTGAGGAGGAGGGTATCTTGGAATGGGACTTCCAATAGTGGTGTTCCAGTGACAGATGGAAACTGACAATCTTCCACCATATCTTGCAGCACACTACTCACGAAGGCTGCATTGGCTGAGTAGAAGGAATTAAGTTTGTAGTGTCTGATGAAGGTAGAGACTGAAGACCATGTTGCCACCTTGCATATTTCCTCCACCGAGGCTTGATGATCAAAGGCTATGGTAGTGGCTGCACATCTCACTGAGTGGATCATGATCTCTACTGGAACCAGAATCCTGCTTGCCTTATAGGCATGGGAGATGCACTGTCAAATGGTGTAGGTGATGGCCGATCTAGACAACACCTTCCCTTAATTGGGGCTGTTAACAAACTGAAAAAAGAGCCCGTCTTTCTGATGGATTCTGTACATTGGGTGCAGATTATGAGGGCCCTCTGGCGGTCTGAGAAGTGCCACTCTCTCTCCTTGGGGTGGCTAGGATGCAGGCAGAGGGAAGGGAGGTGAGTCTCCTGACTCCTCTGAAGAGCCCACCTTAACGAAGAAGGGATCTGGCCTGAGCACCACCTTATCCTTGTGGAAGAAGACACACGGGCTTTTTCTGGCTGACAAGGCTCCCAGTTTCTTTATTTTTGTCTTTAAAATTTTTTATTTTCTAATCTACAAAACTACAGGGTCAGGGTAATGGAAAAACCTAAAATAAGAGTAACAAGGATCCATAATACAGACATATAAAGTTATTGATACGTCTCTGTTAACATAGTAGTAGAGCATGGAGATTACTAATGCAAACATGTCAAGCAAGCAATCACAGTCTCTTTAACTAAAGTGTAAATATCATAGAATTGAAGTTATGCGTTAAAATAGACAACAAGCTATCAGAGTCAAGCTAATTTGCAATTTCCTTTCCTCTTATTAAAGTCCAAATTAATTTTTAGTTCTGCTTCAGATTTAAAGAGTTTGCCAGACTCTTCGAGATGGTATCACAGCCTTCCCCATATTTCTCTTTTCTTCTTCTTCTGTGTCTTTGTTCTCCTCCACTTTCTCAGGTCCATCTTCCGCTTTCTGTTGTTGCTTCAGGAACAACCACTTTATTTCTTTCTCGCTGACATTTTTTTGAGTTCCTTTTGCAACATCTCCCGCTTGACCGTTAAGGCTGGTCATCTGGTCCAGTAGAGGGTGCAAAGCTACATCAATCAGTTTGGGAAAGTCTGTGGTTACTTCCGGTCTAGCGACCGTCGATGCTGTGCTGGCAGTTCATGTTTTAAGTTTCGCTTTCATCGCCATTTTGTCTCCCGCTGAATCATTGTTTATACAAGAGGAAAGTTTAAAAGTTCTCCGTAAGACTGAAATTTATCACTTTCTTACTGATCCGCCACACACTTCGTCGCAATTCGCTTTCTTCAGGCCGCCCTTTCAGCCTCCCACTTTAAACTCAGTCATTTCAGGATCGGGCATTCCCCTCCCCCTTCCGCTTGTTTGGGGCTGCTTTACTAGTAACGATTTATCAATTGTTTGCTGGATCATAGCTTCACTCACGTTTGTACTTGCATTCGCTAGGTCATTTCTTGGGATCCTTATGCGCTCTGTCTGGTGTGCACCTCTCCAGAGTCACTTGTATTTTTTAAGGGGCATAATAAACTTTCAGCAGTAGAATGTCTCTTACCCCATTTTGCTTATCATTCAGAGCTCCCCAAGAACTTTTCATGGCCGCTTCTTTCATCCAAAAGGGGGCGAATCCCTCGGGGTTATTCCTCCAACTTGCAACAAGTTATTCAGTGTGATGTATCATCCAAATGGAAAAATAAGAACTTTAAAAACAGATTGGCTGGCAGCGTCTCTTCAGAACATGGCAGCCATGTTCTTTACCATTCCTCGCTCCTGCTTCAGGGCGCCTCTGGTCACCCCCCCGCATTTGCCAAATTACGGGAGGGGCCAGCACAAAGCCCCATGCGCCTACACTCTCTACGGGAGTGTAGGTTGTGCTCCCCCGTCGCCGGGGGGCTCGAAAAAAAGCAAAAAAGGTTCGGGCGACTCGGAGCTCAGCCCCAAGCTCCCGCCCGTCGTCGCGCCGTAACGGAAACCCCCTCACTCCTGTGTTTCTGTGTTGTAGCCCTTCAAGAGCCTTTTTCGTGATTAAAGCGGAGCCAGGGCATGTTCTGATGATGTCCATGATTGCTAGCTCCTGAGTGAGAGAACAGATCAGGATGTCATCAAATTAAGGATGGATTTGAATTTCTTGCCGGCCAATCAGGGCCATTAGAGCTACAGGAACCTTGGATAAGACCCAAGGAGCCAATGCTAGGCCAAAGGGTAGAGCCTTGAACTGGAGGCAAACTGGAGAAACCTGTGATGTCCTAGAAGGATCCAAATATTTAAGTAGGCTTCTGTGAGATAGATGGACGTCAGATGGACGCATCTCCACACAGAAGTGACCTGTTCAAACTTCAGGTTGAGAATGGCCCTCCAGTTCCTGGTTTTCTCAGGCACCAAGAATACACAGTAAACTTCTGAGCAATGTTTGCAGGAAGGAACTGGCTCTATAGCCTGTACCTTTGGTAGGTGTCTTGTGTGTGTGTGCGTGTGAGAGAGAGAGAGAGACACATTTGGGAGAATAAAAGAGGCAGACTGAAAAAACTGCAAAATCTTATGGCATAGCCAAACTGGATGATTTGCAGAACTGTGGTCTGGTTGAAATTGAAGCCACTGGGTTGGAATCCCTGAAGGCACCCACCCACCAGAATGTCCCTGGCATCATGGTTTCCTTGTTTGCCCAGCCAATCAGGTTCATCATACCTGTAGGACTGAAGCTGGGAAGATCTATTGGCATGGGAGCCTCTTGAAAGGGGCTTCAGGTGCTTGACTACTGGTCCTCCTTTGATCTGGTCTAACCTGTGATGTAATAGGAATGAGAGGAATGAGGGAAGGGATCTCCTATGGTCCTTCCACGGACTCTTGGCCGTGGCCTTCTTATTATCTCTAGTTCCACCAGGATCTTGTTGAGACAGTCCCTGAATGGCTTTCTATCTTGGAGTGGGCAGGCTATTACTATGGACTTTGAATGGGGATCTGCTTGCCATGCAAAGAGTTGTAGAGCACATCTGGCCATAGAGCAGCTGCCATGGAGCAGGATGTAAAGGTCACTGTGTTGAGAGAGGTGTTCGCTAGGAAGGTAATCACCTTGGGAACACGGTTGGCACCCTCTATTGTCCTTCTGTCGCCGGAAGTTGCACCAGCTTCAAGGCCCACACAATGGCTACTCTAGAGATTAAGGTAGAGTTAACTGTTGCCCTGATGATCATTGCCATGGCCTCTTGGGACTACCATAGTGCATAGACTGTTTTTCTGTCCAATCTATCCTTTATGAATCCAACACCATCCTCTGAAGCCAGGCCAGTCGACTGTAGAGCTGCTACTGGAGTATCCACTAGGAGAACCTGCAAGAATACCATAGTCTGAGAAGCCAAGGAATAAAGTTTTTGTTAACATTTGGGAACTGAGATTTAGGCTTGGCCCATTCTTCCATCATCAGCCTTTTGGGGAAAAAAATCAGGAAAAGGAAACTCGACCTGAGGAAGGAGCCCTGGAAAAAATTCTTTGCTCCCCTGGGGCCTGAATTTACTCCCTGAGGGTTCCTCTCGGGGGCCAGGGATTTATGTGAGGTCTAGGACCAGGATGGCTTTGAAGAAGAGGGACTGGTAGCCATCTGCATTGAACAGCCATGTGGGTTGGTCAGCAACTATGAGTGCCTCCTCTGAGGTAAACTCTCCCACCTCTCTCTTTGGTTCCGACTGTGATGAGGGGCTGTCTGTTCCTGAGGGGCTGCCCTGGACCTTGGCAGGGGTGGCAGTGGAGGAAGAAGCCTTGCAGGCCACCTCGGTGAGCCACTAAGAGCAAAGGTCCCAATAGGATGAAGCATGCTCTTCCCTACGCCTAGACCTTTGCTTGTGGGTAGACGAGGGTGACCTCAGGTTAGAGCACTTGGACCCCTGGGATGAGATGGGAGAGGAATGCTCTTGCATGCCTTGCAGCTTCTTTCATGGCTCTCTTTAAAACATCTGGCTGAGCCAAGCAGATTCCACCTGCCCACAATGGGGGGGGGGGGAGAGACAGTTCCTTACCCCCTGAAGAACTGCTGTGGTGAAACAATCCCTCTGGTTCAGCGATGGGTCCAACAGAGGAGCCTGGCATGCCATCATAGCCCTCCGGGGCCAAACCTGCAGCCAAGAGAGGGAGGGGGCATCCAATGAGGGAGCCTGGCATGCCACCATAGGCACATTTTTAAGTGCTTTCATTTAAGCAGCAGAGCCAAGAGGAGGTGTGAAAGAAAGTGTGAAGAGAAAGAGGAACAGGTTGGAGAGGTTAGGAAACTCACCCTAGGGTATGAAATTGCTCTAGGAGAAAAAACCAAAAAAGAGCGAAGACCTTTGCCCCAAAGCTACTCTCTCTAATGAGACAGGAAGCAAATTGAGCCAGGGCAACTCCCACCCAGGAGACAGGGAGCTGAAGTGTTTAATCCTGCCTCCCTGAGCAATTGGTGGGAATCACCCATTCCAAAATGCCCCCCCCCCTCAGTGAAAACTGCAAGTTGTTTCAGACCTTCAGTGGATCCCAGAATTCTTCACTTTCTACAGAAAACCAATGCTTTCCTCACTTTCTTGTACATGTGATTCAGGGGGAGAGGGAGCTGATAAATACAAACAGCATGTGGATTTGCTTTCCACAGGCTAATTCTAAACTGCTTCAGAGGTTACTGTTCATGCAAAGCAGACGTAACTCCCAAGACTACTAATAGTATCCCAGCATCTTGAATTATTCCAGACATCTACTATGCGCAATCTCAGAATTTATGGACGTTCCATGATACTTAGGCATTATCTCTGATGCTTAGCTTCCCTCCCGCTGAAAGTAAGGTATGATCACCAAAATGAGTAAGCAGCTAAAATCACACACAGGGCCACTTTTATAGGGGTTTTTACTAATTAAGCTTATACCCAGAATAAAACTTTGTTGGTCTTAAATGAGCTACTTGACTCAAATTTTGTTCTGCTGCTTCAGACCAACATAGCTATCCACCTGAATCTACCAAAAGGCAATATTAACCTTGGGAAAAAATCATTGTTATAATTTCACTTTATCATTTTCAACTCATTCCTTATTAGCCCCCCCCCCCCTTGACTCAATATTCACCAAGTCCAGCCTCCAAGAGCCAGTCCCTCTGTTATTTCCCTTTGTTCCATAGCACTGTCTGTTCTACTAGCACATGGTAAGGGTTCCGGGAAATGATGCTGCTCGCGTACCACCAGTTCTCATCTAATCCTCTTTTTGTTTACCTACTAAGAAGATTCCTCATTACCCCTATTTCTTATAACCAAACTAGATGAAACCATTCTCATTTGTTTTCCCCAATGAGGCAGGTAGCACCTGTGTATACTTTATATTGGCGGAAATGACTGGGGGGGGGGGATGGGACACATCTCCTTCAAAAGCAGCACTTTCCTGATTCCCATTCGTCAAGACTACTTTGAACTTTTTCGATTTCCCCCCCTTCACCAACCTTTCTATACCCCTTCAGCAATCTCATGTTCTCTTTCACTGCTGCATATTGAGAGCAGTCTCACCTTCTGCAATGTTCTACATGTTTCAAATACATTAGCTATGACATACAGCACAACCAGGGCCCTGCTTGCTACAACAGAAAAAAGAGAAGGGTGAGCAGATAGATGATTCAGGCATTGGGGATGAAGGTGCCAATGCTACATCTAGTTGTGTCTTAGGCCTTTAACCTAAAGAATCTGCGGGTCTTCTCTTATGAATCCCAGCTGAGCACTGAAATTGAGGTTTTGGCATCTTCCACATATATAATGCATTTGTTAGTCATTGATCCTGTTCAATCTGTTTACTATTAAGGTTAATGTTGGCAAATACATGTGGATAAGATGGTTGCAGTTTCTGGCAGGCAAATAACTGCTTCTGAGCTACTCTATTCACACTTGGCTAAAAAAAAAGCAACATGATCCCAAAAGGTGATAAACAATTGCTTTGCCACTGCATCAGGGCCTTAATTATTAAAGAGGTACTGCAACAAATGTAAGTCCCAAGGGTTTCACTGATTCTTACCATTACCCGAGATGTTACAGTTATAGTCTACTGCAGCAAAACAACAAATAGCCTATGGCACATTAAAGAGTAACTGGCCTATTATTGATTACAACAGATTTTTACACCTGATTTTGCCACGGTAAATTAGTTCATTTTAAGGTGCAACTAACCTATTTGTTGTTTTTAATGAGAACACAGGATCATAGACTGGCACCCTGCTCCTAAACACTTGTGCCAGCATAGCTGCCTATACTGCTGATACATCCCATCTGATAACACTGAGAAATATATGTTCGTACACACTAAGCTTTTTTTTTGGGGGGGGGCATGGACAAGTTATCTTTGTTATTTGGCCTTGGAGCACAACACATAGTTACTGACCATAAATATGACTTGTGTTTTTTTTAAAAAAAATATGTGAACAAAATTAGAAACAAATATAAGAACAAATATAAGAAAGCAATTTCAGCAGGTTTTGGGCCTGTTCATGGACGCACATTTATCACACATTCATTATAGCATCAAATGGGGACATACAGGCATGAATGAACCATTAACCACCATAAATGGAACTTTCACATCACCTAATGTCAACTCAAACACATTTTTAATAGACAGTTCATATCCATCTGAGAACCATCAAGTGATATACATACATCTGTGAAGCGTGGTTCCATAAATTTCCACTCTGACAATATTGTACATCTTACTGTACATCAGAAATATTTACCTATAAAAAACTGTATTTATGGAGGATATGCATACTGCTGAATTTCTCAGATCCTTTCTTTTCTTTTTTGTTTGAAGTAAGATTACACAAATGGGACATATGCATGGGTGTTTTTGCCCAAGTCAGCCACCAGATCATGTAACGGAGCACATACCACCATGCATATAGTAAGTTTGGATCTCGACCTGCCTTATCTATCAAAAAAGGGACCAGAAGGCAAGAAAACAGGACTTTTGCTTAGTGTTGAACTGGAAACAAAAATGTATACAACATACTACTATAATCTCTTCCTAGGCTTTAAAAATAATAAGCTTCTGGTTCAATGGATATTACAATTGTATTACTGCTACATTTGGAATTCATAGTCTTTATGCACTCCCATTCCATGTTATGTTCCATTTCTTATACATATTAAAGTCTCATGTGTCTTACAAATTCTACTTCATCACAATCCTTCTCACCACCAATGATATTTAATTGCTAAGAATGCAGAAAATAAACAGATAGTTGTCACCACATTTATATCTAAAGCCATTGTGTACATTTCCTGATCTTTCTTTTCTTTCCACGCAAACCAATTTCTCAGAACTTCACAAGTCTCTTATGAAATAGGTACTTGCAAGGGCAGACCAAGCAATCAATTTATCTCCTCCTGTAAACACCTGGTCTTGAAAGGTGCCAAACCCCTTCAAATCTCACAGAACTGTAAACTGTAGATGCTCAGTTTCTTAAAATCACACATGGATTGAGGGCGTTTCCCCAGGAAACTAGAGCACTTCTGGATTACAGGACCAATTACACTTTCACAATGGGGGGGGGGGGCGCTCTACTGGAACACCTAGAGAGTCAGCGGTTTACTTTGAGCCTCAAAAAGATCCTGCATTATGCCACAAAACTCCAAGATAACATTCTTCTTTTAGTAACCATCTGATTGATTACCATTTTTTATGAGTTGATCACAGCCTTCCAGTCTTGGAGACACTGAGGATGGAATGGTCATGACTACTGTTTTGCAGATGAAACTGCATTTTCTCCTTTAGCAGGCTTCTATACTACACCTGGGTAAAAAGGATTTTTAGAGGCATCCAGCCCAACATCAGGGCTGCAAGTAATTGAGAATGCCTCATCTTTCCAGATAGCTTGATCCTGTGGTTAAATTAACCTCATGTAAATTAACTTATTAATGTACATTTCCAAACTAGTTCTTCTGCCTTCCTCTGCTACGCTACAGCCTTTTAATATCTAGCACTTTTAAGCTGTGAAGATATTGATACAGGCCTAAACAAATCACATCTTAACCTTCTCAGTAAGCTAAAAGCCATGTTCTACTAATGTCATTGCTTTGGTGTTGTTGCTGTACATTTATGGAGCCCAACAGAATATCTACATCAACTTCCAATTGATCAGGTTACTTTAAGACCTCTCCAAACTCTTTTCAACTTCAACAGAAGCAACCTCCTCTAGCCATTCACATTTGAATTTAGCAGTTTTCATATTTGTCAAAAGTCTCATAGAACCCTGGTCTGACTTTTCTGATGCTCATACGTATATGCTGACATTCATGAGGAACTGTCTCGCCATAGCTAGTTGAAGTTGCAGTCCCAGTAATCCAGCCAGAAGATATGCGCTTCCTTTTTGCCTTATGTGAAAAGTCTGCAACTCCCTTGCTGCGTTCAAGACAAGAGTCATCTTTATTCCTATCACTGACTTCTTCATCTGGCTGTTCATCTCTATTGGAAACCATGCCTTTACGCTTACAAGTTTCTTTCTCTTCTTCGGCAATCTTCCTGAAACGCTCCAGTGACTGCACTTTTCTTCGTCTTTCCAATGTTTCCATTTGCTTCTTGTCCATGAAGTCCTCAAAATACATTTTTCTTTCACTTCTTTGATCTTCAAGAAATTTCCACTCAGTGTCTGTCATCTTCACACCACTGTATTGTTCCAGTTTCTCTCTTGTAACTGTATCTGTACAAAATATATCAAAAAGCTGTTCTGAACTCCTGTTGAAGTCATCAGCTTTCTGTGTAAACAGCTCATTTTTTCTTCGCTTTCTGGACTGATACAACTTGGAGAATTCCTCATATACCTTAAGAATATGATTTTTTATGCTATGTGTTGCTATGGTATACAAATTGCAAAATAACCAGTGTTCCTGCAAAAGTTCAGCAAGCAATTGGGCAGCATCTTCTTTGGATCTCTGGGCCTGCCCAGCCCTTTTTGGGTGCAACAGATATAACATATTTTGGATGACATCCTTCTTTGTAGGCAGAATTCCTTGTGCAAATTCCGATGACTCCACATAATCAACAGTTCCCAGAGTTTTCTTTGCTTTTGCTTTAGTATCCAAAGCTGCCATTGTTTCTTTCCAGATTCACTTTACTTCAAAAGCTACAATAAAAGAGAAAGAGATTAGACATTTGAATCAGAATATTCATAGCAACAAAAATACAAAAGCTGTATTTTTGAAGCTACTCACCATCTAAGCCTGATATCAAAAGAATTCAAGCTGCAATACCAGGAAGGACTTAAACATCTGTAATCAAATATTTTCTAAACAATTTTTTCTGAACACCAGCCTTTGGGATGAAGGAGCCTTAGAAAAACTAATAAAATCATCTGTAAAATTAAACTGTCCTATAGAGCACTATAGCATCTCATACATACATTATCCTTATTACCTGTAAACTACATTTCCCCCAGTCTTTCTGTTGGTATAGAAATAATTTGTTCCAGCAGAGCACAAATCTAGGATACAGTTCAGTGGCAACAAGAAACATAACAAACTGGTTATATTTTATTCATTGCAGACAGTAACTACATATTTCCTCATTCATAAGTTTTATTTATTTTTATATTATATGTATAATATGGCTTCAATAAGAACTAGATTCTAGCAATGGTCCAGGGTTTGTCTATACCATAAGTGCACTTATCTTACTATAAAGTGAATCAGACACGTTTCCAGACCACACTCTAATGAGTAGTCCAATGCCTGTATTCTGACCACTAAAAATGAATAGTATGGTGGCAAAGCTCTCTTCAAAAAGTGTGCTGCAGCACTTCCTAACTGTCTGGAGATCTGTTAATCTTGTATTTTCAGAAATATCTGCCACTGTTTTGAAGTGCCCCGGTTATGTTAACCTTTCTACAAAGCTGCTCCCAAACACTTTCTCAATATGAACATATTAATGCATAATGCTATCAGCAAGATTCAGTCACATTATATTTTAATTTCCTGACCACACTTTTGAAAAGTAAAATTTGATCATCTTTTATTTATACTGGGAAAGATCACATAAAACCCACATTTTGGAAGAGAAAACATTAACAGCATTTTTACCACCACTATTTAGCATAGCTGAGCAGCCCAAATCCATATCATCACTTTTCAGAGGGAGCTACTTTGACAGAATTTCCTGAAATACTTAAGTGGGCAGAGGGGAAAACCTTATGCTGAGTGATCGCAGAATAGAATATCCAAGAGATAGCATTAGGCAGCATACATAGAATGATGTTTCCAGATTTGCATGTTCAGCAGCTTTTAAAATATAAGGATGAGGTGCTGTCAAAGGACTCAGAAACGCACAACTGTAAACTTTCACAGCTTAATCATCACACTCAGTTGTGGAGATTTCCACAACGTTACATAAATTCTGAAATCCCGTCTTTCTTTTAAATAAGCTGGATATACCAGCAAACCAACCACCACGGGGAACGCTTTCCTTCCTAGCATCTAGCAAAATCGGGTTCCGGAGGCCTACCAGAGGCGCTAAAACATGACCATAAATAGCACGGGGGTGGGGGTTGGTGAGCTAAAAAAACGTTACGCTTTAAAAACGCGTGAGAGACCTACGGAGAGATTTAAAACCGCTAGCCTGACAGAAAAACCTACATAAATGCACGCATAGAATTACCCCGCCAGTATATCATGGGCAAAATGGGCACAGTAATCCAGACTTCACGCCCCCCCCCCCCCCGGCCTTACTCCCACTTGAGAAAATAACGCCAGAAAACCACCTCAGCAGGCGAAAACAACACAGGTCCGTGAGGTGGCTTGGGGGTGGGTGGGGCGCCGTCCCCTCTCCCCAGCGTCCCTCCCCGCCCCACAGACCAGGCCGCCAGAAACCCAGGCTCCAAACGCTCCTAGCAAGCCGGCCAGAATCTATACATCTGGCCTGACCATCTCTGATCCTGCCCGGCCCCCTTCGCCCCTAAGACCTGCCTCAGAGCCTCCAAACTAACCGAATCAGGGAGGACGCCAGTCGCCTGCTGCCCGGGCACCACCATCTTAGACTGAAGGCTCGCTACGCAGCGGGAAAAGGGAAACAGCCACCTTCTCCACCATCTTGGAAAAGGGCACCGCTGACATACCTTGCCGTGTGAGCTCTTCTATCCTAGCGTCTCTGTGACCTAACGCGCAAGCCTCAGTCACACGCCACTTTCAAGAAATTAATCCGGCTGCTGGCAACTTGCCTTTCATCCTCTCTCAATATCTGAGGCGAAAAGAAGCCCAAAAGGGTCGCTTGCGGAAGGACCAAAAATGAAGACACAACCGAGAGATAACGACCAATCGCTATCAGGTAACATTTACCGCTGGACGAAAATCTTTAGGCTACAGGAAGGGGACCTGATTCCATAGGGGCTGAGTCTGTCACATTCCCAGTTTGGCGGAACCGACTGGTTCTTAGCTCACAGCTGATTGGTCGCTGAGCCACAACGGTCATAATGAGACGTTATCTGTCTCTTGGGCGGAAACGCTTCCAAACAGCAAACTCCACAGCGGGAGGATCAGTTCTTTCCGGGGTCTGCCTGACCAACGAGACTGGGAGTACGAGAGAAAACCGCATGACAGCCGGTCTGAAAGCCGTGGTTTACTACGTCGCCATGCTAATCCCCGTATTTCTCCTTGTAGGAATATGATTGGCTAAATGTATGAGAAAAAAAGTGTAATGGCAGCCAATAGCTACCGGGTGAGTTGTAGGGTGCAGATTGGTTTTTCGTTTGAGTGATTGTGCCGTCCTAGCCAATGGTTGCTCTCTGAGTTCTAGCTAAGGATGGCCTTGGTAGTTCTGAAGTTCCTTCTAGTGTCTCTGTGAGTTCTGTTTCCAGCGGGTGCTGGGACTGGGGGAGTGTGGGAAGTCGCAGTGGGCGGGCACGAAGATGATCGGCGTCCCCTGTTGTTTGTCTCTCGCCTCTGCTCCTCCGAGAACCGGCTCCCTGGCACTGCAGATGGAGGTTTCAGTTGGCTGTCATGGCTAATAAACTGTTCAGAGCTAGCCTCCATTTTGCCTTCCACAGATCCAGTTTCAATTTCCACGGTTAACATTTTGCCTTGCAGATGTAGTGTCAATTTCCACGGTTAATGTATAATATAAAAGGAGTCACCTTTTCATTTAGAGCCCCAGTATGTTCTCTCCCACCCAAAGAGAGGGAAAGCACTTGTAGCTCCCACAAAAGTGTACCCTGTGCTGGGGGAACTGTCAATAGACAGCTTTCTCTGCACGGTGGATCCTTGCCAGGGTCCTGGAAAAACTGGCTTCCACCAAATAAGCCTCTAGGATTTGTGGACCACAAGAGGCTAATCTTAGGGGTTAAGTGATAGTAAGATGGTTGGGAGGTCTGTCTTTTTATTACTATTGTGTGGTGCTTAAGTGTGGATTTCACCTCAGCATTTTGCTTCATCCCCCCCCCCCCCCCCCGCTGGCGGGTTTTTTTAAAAAAAAACGAAGGGAATTTTTTTTTCCAACTCTAGGGTCGCGGTGCTCATCTCCGTTTCAAAGCCGAAGAGCCAGCGCTGTCCGAAGACGTTTCCGTGGTCATGTGGCCGGCATGACTAAACACCAAGGTGCACGGAACGCTGTTACCTTCCCACTGAAGTGGTCCCTATTTATCTACTTGCAATTTCTTGCTTTCGAACTGCTAGGTTGGCAGGAGCTGGAACTAGAGACGGGAGCTCACTCCGTCATGCGGCACCTGGGTCTCGAACTGCTGAACTACTGACCTTCCACAGCCTGCAGTTCAGTGTCTTAACCACTTGAGCCACCGCAGCTCCTATAAAAAGACAGTACCTAAGCTTTAAGGTGCTGAGAAAAGATGGGCTGTGCTGCAGCAGAATCCTTTCTCAGCTATACTATCTACCCAATGACTTGCCCACAGCCCACCTTGTCATCTGCAGATACTGGTGGTTGTGTTCCTATTATTTGATCAACAATAGGCCATGGTGCTGCATGCTCAGTGGCTGGGAATCCACATCAGGGGCCGTCTCTACCCACCGAAGAGAGGGAGGGGGGACACTAAGTGACCCTTGCATAAATAACAGTTAATGAAAATATATTTGTGTGCAGGGGGGATGAGAATACCAGAAGAAATGGATGAAGCAAAGCAGGAAGGAAACAAAGGAATAAGGTCCTGCTTTGTGTTCTCTGTTGCCAAATGTACAAAAATAATTCTTGTATATTATATGCAAGAATTCAGGCTTGCTTGGTGCACCATTCATTTTAATATTTACTATTTTTGTAGGGCAGCATAGCAGCTGAGAGGCACCCTCTTTGCCACTCTGGCAGAATGTCCTTCACCCCTCGACAGCAGCAGTTCGTAGGGTGTCTAGCAATGTTCCCTCTAATTTTTCCCCCTACTGAGTGGAGCAGTTCACATCCTGAGCAGAATTGCTGTAATCTTAAAAGGGGCAATGGGCAGTATTGTGTGCAGATTGCTGCTGAGCAGGGCTTCCTGTGTTAATGAGTGGTTGCTCACATGCACAGCTTAGCGGGAACACTGGTGTCTAGCATGTTTCACAAAAAAGCATGAGTGGGAAGGCTAGGTCGCAGGCTGGAGGTTCTGGAGGCTCTCTCACTTCTTGTACAGTTGTTGACCCAACTAGTGGTGATCTGTTAGAGATCTGAACAAAACCTATATGTTTTGAGGCTCTGGTTTGTGAATTCTAAATTGGTAGTCTGACAATACTTCATGTGCTGAGTCTGACGGATTTTAGGCCATAGATTTTGGCTTGCCCCAAATCCAGCTTTACCTTTATCCCCACCTCTCCCCCAGTTGAGTGACAGAGTGATATCAGGCTGAATTCAGATTGCTTCCAAACTCAGCACAAAGTCAGGGAAAAGTCAAGCTTTGGGACCAGGAAGGGCTGGCAGTAGCACGCCCAGAAAAACAGGCTGCCCAAGTCTTGTCAGTTGCTCCAGCAACTGCTGAGGCAATGTCTCCAGAATTGCTGCTGCTGGCAAAGCTGGCTTCATGTGTGCAGATGTGGTGACCAGTGTTCCCGCTAAGATGAGTTAGTGTGAGCTAGCTCACAATTTTTCAGCCTCCACCTCACACATTTTTGTCTTAGCTCAGGAAGGAGGGCTCCAGAGCAAACTAATTCATGCAGCAGCCAAATCGCTCGCTCACAACTTTAATGCCAGTCACTTACAAAGTAGGATTTTTGCTCACAAGACTCCACAGTTTAGAGGGATCATTGGTGGTGACCACAGCAGGGAACAATGGCAGCCTGTCTTGCTGGACTTGCTACAACTTTTGTAGAAATTGCAGGTGACCATGTTGGTAACAGCTCTGCTGGGGATGGGCAGGAGCTTGCCACTTGGCTTCTGCCATTTCTTCTTCCCTGCTGCTGGCTTTTCCTCTTGGGCTGTGGCCAGTCGTGGAAGCCCCTGTTCTTGCCTGCTCTCTCTGGTCTGGCATATTCCTTTTTGTCCAGGCAGGAAAGCACAGGGAAGTACCATGTGACCCCCACACTCACCCAAAGAGAACAGCTGTTCACTGCTGGCATGCTAATGAGGGGGATTGTGGTGGGTTCCTCTCATCTGGCATTGGCTGTTCTGAGTAGCAGCTGGTCTCCGATGTGTCATAGAGTAACCTTTTGTAACTCAACCATTTGTGGTCCTTTAACTAGTAAGTTATACTTACTAAGACAACATAATTTAAAAGGGGAGTGGGAAGACTGGAGGAGGCCCACGTGGTAGAAAAGCTCTGATGTGTGAAGGATGGGTGAAAAAGAGGCAGAGGAGGTGTGGGCCTGAGGAAGGAATAAGATGAAGAAAAGATCAAAAACTTACATGACTCTGAGAGACAGGAGGGACTAGACACAGTGAGTTTTTGAGACGGGGGAGCTGTAGGAATAGCCAGGAGATCCCCGGGGGAGGGGAATTGTTTTAGCTGCCAAAGCTGTAGCTTTTTTTTTTTGCACCACTAGGTGGTGAGCTATGTTTATTTTTAGGCTGAGAGTGCTGCATTGCCTAAGATCACCCAGATAGCTTCAAGTGGAGAAGTGGGGAACTGAACCTGGTTCTCCAGATTAGAGTCTGCCGCTCTTAACCACTATACCAAACTGGGGAACTGTAGGCCAAAGGGACACAAAACTAGAGGCAGGGACTGAGTAGGGTTGCTATGGAGGAACTGAATGTCACATTTTGACTAAACTGGGTTTGTCAATCCCTCTTACCTATCCCTGCTTTATATGCCACAAAACTGAGTTCTTAGCAAATAGTAATGTGCATACAGCATGAGAAATAGGCAGTATGACACCTGATTTGAACTAACCAGCCTGGATTTTGTCTGTAGAATTGTGACACAATATTTCTGAAAAGTCACTGCAGTAGTTCTGCCTTCCCTCTGGTTAATTGGCAAAGGTAAGTGAGAGTTAAATCATCTGTAAATCACCTGGCATTTAACAGTACATTACTTTTTTTTTTAAAGGAAGTTCACAGACTATGGAAAAAGTTCAAGCCAAGAAGGTGTTAGTGAACAAAGGAAACTGTGAGGAAACTGGCCGTGCTGGAGAAGGAAAGATGTCATCAAGCAGGTTTATAGTTCATCTGATTACTTTAGAGGAGGAAGCTGTTTTTCATAATGCAGACTGCCAAGATACTCATATGCGAATGATGGTTTAATTCAGAAGTCAGTCCAGTTGAACTAGATGGAAATTACTACTGAAGAAATCTGCAAAGGATCAGTTTGCAATTCTACTGTAACAATTAAAAGGATCCTAGGGCAGATATCCAGGAACAGCAAGACTGTTAATTTTGCAAGGCTGATAGAAAATTCTGATTATGAGTAAAAGCAACAAGGAGTCTGGAGGTGTCAGATTCATGCGTGCTTCTGATAAAATGTTCGTCAAGGCTGGTGTCACAGTCATCAGTGCAAAAAAAATACAACAATTTTTTAAAACTTCAGAATACTAGTGTCAGCTGTTCATTAAATGTTGTAGCAACAGTTGTTCCAGGGGAAACGGTGTTAAAAGAACAATTTCCATTTCTGGAACTAAATGATTTATCTTCCACCTGAACAATGATAGTATTCATGCATCTAATTCCCCCTTTTATGGTAACTGTCCTCCTGTTCCATTTCCTGCAGAAAGATTTACATGGATTACAATGCAACCACCCCTCTAGCACCTGAGGTGATTCAGACAGTTAGTGAAGCCATGCAAGAAGCATGGGGCAATCCTAGCAGTTCCTACACAGCAGGTGAGAGCAAGGTTATATGGAAACACAGTATGAGAGTATCTCCTTTTGCATACAAATGCCTCTTCAGCTGAAGCTCACTTCCTTATTCAAGTCACTAGCAATAAGGAGTAAGGGTCAAACTAGATGTGATGGCCCTCAGTCTTTAATACGAGTGAGCTGTGCAAGAGCAGAGAAATACTTCAGTTGCTGAAGTAATCCAGATATTCTTCCTCAAAAGAGCACAAATGTCGCAGGAACATCACATTTTCCCATCACAATTTACAAAGCAATAGGCTAATGGAAAAGCATGATATATTTGTATGTGAAATTACATTTGACTTCAGTGAATGTAGAAGAGTGTAACTCTGCACTGTTGGTCTCATTAATTCAATGCAAACGTTCTGGTTGTTTCTCCATTGTCTGTTAGATAATAATTTAGGGGGGGACATTTGCCTGTGTAACTCAACAAGGCACTGACTAGTGCCCATTATATTAATGGTAA